ATTATACAAAAAACATTAAACAATAAAAACTAAATATACATAATATGTTATAAAACACAATATAATAAAAATGGATTCTTCTAAAATCTATATTAAATCGCCTACTAACGATTATGCTAAATTTTTAGATTGATGATGATAACATCGTGCACTTGGATAATCTCATTGAAATAATGCCACCCGAGTTTGTGCCGATAATAGAACAGTTGCACACAACTTGTGGCACAAAAAGTAAGTAAACTTATATCTATATTTAAGAAAATATTAACAAAATATTTTAAACAGGTGGCGCTGATGGCTGCGAAACGGCGTTTTTAACAATAGAGTGTTATATAAAAACAGAGCCAATCATATCAAAAATGTTGTTTTCAACATACGCGGATTGATTTTGCAAATGAAAATAAATAAATACGTAAATAGTAAATAGGAAGTGTTAAAAATGTAAGCGCACCTGTAAAGCGAATCGTCAATACGCAGCAGCAGCAGGCAACGCACAATGCGCAAGCACTCAATTTGCACTTTAATCATGGCATCCTAAAAAATAATATATAAAATATATAGCATTAAATAATTGTAAATATATAAAAAATTATATTTAACTACTTTAATATCGCAGCGGAACGACAAATAGTTGATCAGTATATCCGACAGCTGCATATTCATCAAGCGCACAGCGATGCCGAGATTTTGTGTAATTAAAATACGCACGAGTTTTAGGCATAAGAATTGTGGTTGATAATAAAATTGCGCCGTGGACAAGTTTGCTTCTATGAAAAAACAAAAAAAAATATTTTTTTAAAATAATTTTATTCGTTACATGCACTGTACACAAGCACTACTAACCCGTGTGCGTTAAGTCTGGCAAGAAATGCGCGAAGAGACACTGTATTAGCTCGTTATTGGCGACAATTTTTCCTGCGATCTCCTTATTTGTGCGCGCCAAGCGTATGAGTAGTTTTAGGCACGACGTAACTGTGCTGTTTTCCGGCTTGACAGCGCTCAAAATAAAACTAATAACAAAATATTAGTTCACTAAACGTATTTTCACTAAACCAAACACTTACTAGATGCGTTGCAGAATATTTGTACGCAACAGGCATTCGATGAGATTAGTTTCCGCCAATTGAAAATCGCTCATGGATGTTTTACTCTCATTTTCGTGCTCTTCGAAGTCACTACGAAACATGGAACGATTGCTTTCCTCGTGCATTTGTAATTGTTGCATTTGTTTTTGTAAATTTTCTAATGCATTCAGATCTTTAAAATCAGTACTCATGTCGGCTGACTCCAAACTGGGTTGCCAATGACAGCCTGGATTTTCGAAAATGAAGTCCAGTAAAGTCTATAAAAAAAAAAATTGATAAATAAATACAAGTGATGATTCCCTAAAATTTAATACAAAATCATAAATACCTCATCTGCCTCGTTGTAAAAGAGAAAAGCCAGCGCTCTTGTTACAACTTCCAGCACAGCTGGTGTGTTGTCATCCAGTCCGAGACGCAGTAGGAAGAATATTTTCGAAATTGGCAACTCTAGGACACCATCATAAAAGCCTTGGTTGTAAATGCTTAGAATTCCACCAATCGCACCGAATGCCGATATGCGCTGTTGCATAATGTTCGAGCTAGAAAGATTTCCAAATATTAATATTAATTAGTTGTTTAGCTAAAAATTAGACAAATACAAATTTTTTAAATACCGTGCCAAGCGAAAAAGTTCTTGCAGCGTGTAACCGGGTCTATGCGGTTCATCTCCGTGCAGATAAAGTTCTCTATCATCTTTTGCGGGAGCAGGTATCACTTCTGATTTATTTTCAACCGAGTATGGCAGTAGTACACCCTTCCAATCGAAACGCGCCTCAAATTGTTCACCCGGCTTTACATTCGTCGTGCTTTCTCCGATATCACGCATCCATTTAAGCTTATCAGTCTCAACTACATCGAAGTGTACCCAATTTTCCGCCTCACTTTGTTGTAATATATCATATGCGGCATTGCTTGGTGTTATAACGGAACTAACATCCATAGGTTCTTGTTTCTCAAACTTTTCAGAAGGTTTAGTATTAATAATAGTGCTTATAGTGCTTGAAGGAAGCGCTTGATTTGATTTGTCCTGTCGCCTCTTTTTCAGCAATTCCAACAGAGTGGGGTCTAAAATCGTTAAAATGTATATAAATAGATTAATATCGTATAAAAAAGCTTCAAGTTGGAAATATTTGATATATTAAGCACTTACCTATAGAATTCAAAAGTTTCTCCCTTTCTTCTAAGATGTCATCTCTACTCATTTTGCTCAAAACATCTAAGTTTTGTTTATGCACTTCTGCAGCAATTGCAGAATTGCTGACTATCACACTTTCGTTACCATACATCTTGCTCAAATCCTCTGAGGGTGCCGGTACTTGGCTTCTCATGGACTGATTTTTACTTAGACCACCAGATGCAAATATACTTTTGCCAGCTTTTGTAGATTTCTAGAAATTCATTGAAATTCGTAATAAAAAACTTGGGCTTATTTTGAAATATCTTTTGACTCACTTCCAATGTAGTTAATTTGATTGTTGGAAACCCGATATTTTCTTCAACTTCCATATCGTCATTTAGCATTGGTGCATCGAATTTTTTCTCTACAATATCCCCAAGTACTATCTCACTAAACTTTTCCACATTGCTTGTGTCCAAATTTCCAACAATCTTCTCTTGTATTTCTCCTAAGATTTCCTGCTTGACTGTCGGAACTGACGTTGCGCTTTTACGCGTTTGCTCTGCATTGTCATTAGCATTATTTTCACTTGCCTTCTGGCGGCTCCTTACAAACAATGATTTTTTGGTTTCTATATATTAAAATATTTAATAAATATGAATAAACACTTTCATTTATATTAATATATACCTTTTGGCACTTTAACGAACTGCGCTGCCGGTTGGAGTTTTGGATTTTTCGCCCGTTGCGATAAAAACTCATTTTGCATACGCAATATATCCTCTTCGGTTTCACCACTTTGTGGCCGTTTTATCATTTTTATACCTTATTATTTCAATATAAAGCCTTTTAAATGTTCAAATAAGTTTTTACGAATTTCACATTTATTTCGCGCGAATGCAAATAAACAATTCCATATGATATTTTGGTGCTGCCAGCTGCAACTGAACTAATTTTTTGTGTGAATAATTGCGAATGAAGATTTTATCATTCGTTCGTTACCATTTAACCCTTGTTATGCGAATTAAGTATGAGTATGCAAATGTTAATTACATTGAATGAAATTGACTTTTTTTTATTATCTTAGTTTTTGAAATAAATTTTATTAAATCTTTAGGTTATTGTTGTTCAGAAAACATTTATTAATTTTTTTGAGTAGGGTCATACGGGGACTCATTCCACGCCGGACATACATATATTTGATATGTCAGGGTGTATTCTGGATAAGTAAGAGTCTTTCCAAAACAAAACTGGGTAAGGATCACTCTCGCGGCTACTCGAGCTTTCATCTCAGGGAGGTATTTGCAGCTGCTTGTTGATGGATATTAATCCGATTCTCGTACGAATGGCATTTAACGAAATTTTCTGTTCTTTTGGGCTTCAAAAGAAGGAAGGACATCATATATAACATAATTTCATGTCATCTAATAATTTTATTTAAAATTTAGTGTTTAGTTTCTCAAATGCCTTTGAAAAAAGCTTTCATACACTTTATTTTCAACTATTTAAAAGTGGTACCTCCATCGGCTAAACACTTGATCAACGAATGCTGAGCAATAATTGTATCCTTGTGGGGCAAAACTGCGATTTCGAAAAACATTTCAATACCTTCCTTAAATTGTTCAATTGCTTGCGATATGTTTTGCTTGTGCATGTCCTCAGCTGCTTTCCGATAAAGCTCCTCTATTTGAATCATTTTCGCTACACTCGTTTTCAGCGAAACATTTTTTCGACAACGTGCGCAGCGCACCTCCTTGGATATATCCTTCGGAAACTTCAAAACATTTGGACAATTTGTAGTAAGACAACGGAAACGAACTTGCTTATCTATTTTCTGTATTGTTGGCCAATTCTCTTGACAAGCCATACATTTGCAATCGAACAGGTAGCGTCCACGCAGTGATCTTTGGCGCTCTTTCAAATTTGTTTTGGTGAAAATCGGTCCGTAGTTCTCAGCTATCACTTCGTTCGGCTGATGTGGCTTTATGGTTGTCAACACCAGTTTCTTTCCAACAAAGTAACGCGCCACGCTCGGCCAGCACTCGTGATTGAAATAAGCGCCTGTCGCGTAGATGGCGGCCCCCACGTAAACAACTTTAGAGCCCTCGAAATGATGTTCCTCGGTTATCTTAGTCTCAAAAACTTCGTGCGCGTTGTATTGTAGCACCTGTAACAGCCCGAGGAGTGCGGCACCAACCTGCAACTCAACAGCAGTTGGATTCACACCCTCACTTTTACGACGTCCAAAGTATTGCGCTTTCTGCAAACAGCGTAATAAGAAGCCGGCCATCAGTGAACGTTGTAAGTAATCTTCGGCTTGTCGGCTCTCAATATGCGCACAAAGATGCTCATACATTGAATTCGCATCATGGATGGCACTCTCCACGCTCGATGCTTGTGTGAATACACGTAAGGCCAAGTAGCAGAGTATCGACATGCCGGAACCTGAAAGATAATGAAGAGTGATTCGGTTTTAAAAAACGTACATAAACTATTGTTGAAATTATATTAGTGGATTCTTAATTACAACTTCTGTAGACAGATAATATTTTGCTGAAGTTGGACTGTAATAAATGAATTGAGGGGAGATTTCCCCTCATTACTACGAGTCGTCTGCCATTGGCTCTATCTGTACCGACGGATTTTAATGAAGGCGGTAAAAACCCAAAAAACTCTTAAAATATCTTCTACGCGGATGACTATTTACCTAGAGAGTCATTTTTTTATTAATCTTAAATTCGTATACTTAACCAATAACTGCAAGACCTTAACGCAGTTTTCTACAACTTCATTGCTAATTCTTGCATCAAATCACCTGAACAAAATAATCTCGATTGAAGACCCCAACAAGCCCGGCTTTAATTCTGTGGACAACCGCATTACACATTCCTACGGAAGTATTCATTGGTGAACGTCAAATCCGTAGGGTGATCGCTGCTGCTACTGCTCGATTCATTCCAGCTGGAAAAATTTGTATAATACGACTTAATTTTCAGCTGAAGCATCAGTCTTAACTAAAGAGCGCGACATCTTTCAGATCGTCGCATGAAGTATCCCAATTTTGAGATTCGATAACTGGTAGATCAGCAGAGCCGGGGAAAACAGATAGAGCAGATGAAGTCCTGCGATCTCTCCGCTGTAGTAGGACAACTGTGGTATACAGTCAAATCCCTGTTCATCCGGGTCGACGGTCGTTTTTTCTCGGACGCGAAGAAATTCGTGATCTATTTTAGTCGGCAATTTATACAATTTATTGATGGGTAGACCATGACCGGAGCCATGAGTCCAAAGCAGAGGTTATATAATATTCGTTAGAAATAGCTAAAAGATATCTCCAATCACATATTGTGATATGTTAAATGAGATGGACCATATTTATCTAGAAGATATGCAAGCTGCTTCATCATACCAATGAAATCGATTAGAATAACATCAAAAATAGGGCACTTGGATACCAATAAGCTCCAGAATGCGCCCATTGTTCGTGAAAATATTTATGAAGAATTCCAAGTGATTTGAAAACAGTCATTAATTTCAATAATAGAAAGTACTTGGTCACATAATAATACATCCAAATAATATTTCTGCGACCGATTGGATTCTGGAGGGGACATAAACTAGTTAACTAATAAAATTTCTCCTGACTAAGAGATATTCAGTATCTTCGGAGTTGGCGATAAATCAGAGGAGAAATCCTCAATCATGTGTAATATGTTCGAAATCCGTCTCTTTCGAACAAGGCTTGAGTAGTACTGGCCTACAATTATTATTATTAATTAGGCCGTTTCTCATTTTCAGGGACTTATGTTGTACTATGTATGATTTTCTTTACTAAGAGATTGGAATTAATAACCGTTAAAAGATCAAAGACATGTAGGGAGACCTAGACAGTTTGAAGTAAAAACTAAAGAATAGTCTAGTCTCACGTCAAACTACTTTGATATTCAGAATGTCTTGCCTTATAGTGACGGTAGTGGGTAGGGTTTAAGGACGATGATCTCTGTGCCGAATTTGCGGAGATTTGGTAACGATGCTAGTACAGTTCCAGTTCAGATCAGAATTAGTGTGTTACGATTATTATTACTGAATTTATTACAGTTTATTAGTTATTACGATTGTTTGCTTAAGGAGTATTTAGTTCCCTTATAATCAAACACTGAACGATAGGCTTTTGGAAAATGCAGTATACCAAAAAATACGCAGAAAAAAATAAGCATATAATGCTTGGAGATATCGTGGTTGCTTCCGCCGACAATCGGTGCATGATTAATTTAAATTTATATTAGGTAGTCGGAAAAGTCTTTTCGTATTTTGTGAATCGTCATATTTTGTATGTCGTTCTGGTCGTATATCTCCTGTGCTACCAATCACATTGTGTCATATCATATAGTGTTGGAAAAGTGAGGAAAAAAAAAAATGAAAATCGGGGAAGCTGAAAAAAAGTCATGACCGTTGATCATATATCAATGATCCCTGATTAAGCGCCATATTGTGTTCCAGGGCATTAACGCGTTTCATAGCAACGTAGTATTCTCTTTAGTGTAAGTATTTCACACATTTTTTTTTTTTTTGAATCTCGTTAATTGGCACCTTAATGAGCTACCTGATTGTTTAACTCTAATGCGAAAATATAAACGTGATTTACATTACCTATGAAAAGATCCATAAAGTGGCATTCAAAGCGATGATAACTGTCACATGCCTCTCCCATGCACTGCGCAGAGCAGAAAGCGATTCCAGAGCAATTAACACATGGCACTGGAGCAATTAACCTGCAAATGTAGATTTTTAGTGCTACTGCATTTCAATTTGTAGAAAATTTAGCATTAATTTATGCACATATAATAATCTTTATGTAAAGCTGGTAAAGGCTTATATATAGACTGTATACAATTCATTGATGCTTATACATATATATTTTTGGATGGCCAAATGTGATACATATTTTCATGTATTTAATAAATGCTTATTATTATCTTTATTCGATCGCCAAATAGGATAACTGTTGACTAACCAGTTTTTATAACCAAAACAAAAAAATAAAAATAAAATAAAAAGTCCTGAAAGATTACAATGTGATATAACAGAACCATAATATTTGGTGAGAAGTTGAGTTTAGAGGTTATAGCATCTACCAAAAGTATCTGCAGATCGAATGTGTAATTTCCAATTGCATTTATGTATCCGAATTTTTCAGGATTCTTTTCTGGTTTTTCGAGAAGGTTTTGTAAGAGAAGTGGACTTTCATTTCACCTCACAATTCGCTGTGTTGTTATCTTGCTTTGAAAGACTTTGATTCATTGACGTCTGCTTCTGCAGTCTAATCCTTTAAAAGTTATAACTCTGAACCGGCAGACGGGCTCCCTAAGTAGGTCGCGTTGTCTTAAATTCGCCATAATTAAATAAGCCATAATAAAATAAATAAAGCCCCAAGGAGAAGCGACACCTTGAAGCATTTTGATCGATTTAATGTCGAAAGCTTCAAATAGCTTCCAGTTCTGAGCTTCTTTGCACTACATTACTATACAGACACTTGCTAATAAATCTTCAACTCTTACATACCTCTCGAAACAATGATGACAGTGACTGCCATAAAAATTAGGCGATAAACATGCGGCAACTGGATTCTCGCAGAGCACAACGTCACCGGTCTTCAAACGATCACCGGCGATCATAAAACGACCTCTCTCTTTAGTCTCCGCCAATTTCAATAAGTTAGAGGCACCACGTAGGTTGGCATTTTCGCCACTCGCCAGAGGTGGTGCCACGGCCGTTTCAATCTTTTCGCTGGGCTTTATAAGTGACAGTTCCTTGCCGAAGGCGTCTCTTAAGGCAATGTTATTGTCAGACAATTTCTCCGCAATTCTTAAAGATA